AAAGAGGTGGTGCCAGAAAGGAGGGTGAGGCTGCACCAGGAAACCTCACACCTAGCTGCCGGGAGCCCTGCACCCCTCAGCCCTGGAGGCCCGTGATGGGAGACAGACAGGAAATAAAGGCATCGCCAGAGCCCAGTTTTGCCTTTCCAGTCTCTGCCATTTCGTTCCCCACGTTGGGGGGCTGCCTGCCCCAGGTACAGGGGTCCACCCCACCCCAGCTCTGATGGGAAGGACCAAGGGGGAGTCAAGACAGGGAGGAGGATGAGACCATGTGTTGGTATCCCACAGAAGAGCCAGAAGGGAGGTGACAACTCCCTGCTTAGCAGTGAGACACCCTAACAGCAGGAGTACGGACAGCGGGCACCCCAACCCTGACACTGCCACACCTCACCTCAGTGCAATGCAGACAGAGTGTCCAATAGGCAGCTTAGGCCAGTGTTTCCCTGAGCATCTTTTACCCTCTCATGGGAGCCCACCCAGGGAGCTTTGGGAGGTCTGAGGGGGGAAATCCTAAGGGCTGATGGGTAACCCTCCCGTCTGCTGCTTCTCCTTGCCCTCCCGAGCAGCTTCACCCACAAGCCTGGAGATACAGGGCATCAGAGGAGCTGGGCAGGGAGTGGTGGGGCGGCGAAAGCACCCCACACTGTCCCAGCGGCAGAGTAGACAAGGGTAGCACCAAACAGAAGGACCCCCTCCCGGCACACACAACACCCTCCCTCAACGACCAGATGCACTCCTGCTCCTTCAAAGGGGGCGCACATACCCACACACAGACGCACGCACACACCCACACGGACACAAGGTAGATATAATATTCGGGGGTCCATCTAGGGGTCCCACCGTGACCATGGAGAAGCCTGGCAGGCGGTGGAGAGGAAGGACGCCAATCCCTCCCATAACTCCGCTCTGCGAGATGGGAAGGGGGGCAGCTTTCCTGCCTGCTTGGGAAGAGGAGGCTGGGAACAGACCTCTATGGGAGGGGCTGGGGAAGGAGCTCGCTGCCCACTTTCCCTGGGAGGGCAGGCGCCAGCAGCGTGTGGTTTGGGCTTGAAGGAGCAAAGGCGGAGAGGACTTC